CTTGGAGCTAAAATTTACAGCAAAATTAAGAACAGCTTCTACTTCTAGGATGACACCTTATTCACTAGCATATAGTTCATATACACGTAATCAGCAGAGGTTCAATAAATATTGAATAAAAGTTATGAGGGTTTTTACAAAAAGGAAAACTAAGACTAATCCTTTTTTGAGGCCATAATTCACTGTCTCAGAGTGGCTGATGAACCTTTCATGAAGAAATTGTTGGGGAATGACACAGGAAAAAATAATAAGGAAATGTCAATGAATATGAGAGGGGGTGGCAAAGTAGGAAAGCTGAAGGTTACCAGCTTTTTTCAGTGACCTGATCCAGTAGTACAGGACAAGTTCTGTGTCACCATGGTGAAACACAAAACGTTAAATGGCTTTAGTTCTCTGACCTGGTTCTGGGGAGACAGGAGCCTTTGTCCTGTGCTTATTCATTTTCCCTTAATGCAAGTTGTTCCTTCTGTGTTGGGAGCCTCTGTAGCATAAGTTTATACCTTCCAGTTATTAGTACATTATATTGGCTTCATCAGCTAAGCTCGTCCAGCTTGCTTGGCAAGCTCTGATCTTTTGTTGAAGGACGGGGCCTTTATTAAATTAAAAGCAGGAGTTTCTCTCAGAAACCTTTTACATCAGAACTCGGTGTCAGAGTAAAGCAGCCTCTAACAATCGAGGGGTCTGTAGGTGCCATTGTACGGTTATAATATATTAATGATCATAATAAAGTCATAGAAGAGACTAAAATAAAGGAGTCGGACACATTTTATGGTAGCATGCTCACCTCAGGGATGGTCATGATCTCAGCAGCCAGGTCTGCACAGAGAGAATATATATCCAATCATGGCATATATATACTTTTGGGGACATACAAACCCCCCTGATTACATCATGGGTAGGGGTTGTACAATAGGCATACATCAATCAGAGGGGGACAAGCTAGGGACATACATGGAATCGGAAGGGGCGGCACTAGGGATACACATGGGACAAGATGGGCCCACCCTAGATTCAAGATGGCAGCCTAACTGGCCCTCCTTGAATTGGCTTGACAATTCTGGGCTCCTTCAGGGAAACAATTCACTATCCTTATCAGCAGGGTGTGGGCCCTACTTAGGGTGGGACAGACTATAGAGTCTGATTGCTCTAGATGGCTGATGCCCTTGGAGATAACCTCTAAGCAGCTTGCATTGGAAGTGGAAGAAAAAATTGCTTAGCTTCTCCCCTGTAGAGGTGAGGTAAGGGTCCTGAATGTGGATCATTACTGATGATAGGCTAAGAGGGGGAGTGTGTGTGTGTGTGTGTGTGTGTGTGTGTGTGTGTGT